TTGTTCTTGCGACAGAAGACGGCGCCGATAGAGCGCGGCCTGTGATCGTAAAATTCTTTTGTGACCGTCCCTTGCTTTCGAGAGGTTACGCCGATGTCCTCCCACGGATGCCTTCGTCGCACCGTCTCTCTCTCTCTCCATCCCATCTCCGTGCATCAGCCGCGCTCACCGTAGTCAGCCAGTCTTCCAAGCCGCCTACAGGCGCCGACTCGCCTGCAAAGAAACAACCGGGCGCCCGTAGCGTCGGGGCGCGTCGACAGAGATGAGCCATTCCGGCGAAGGCTTCACCTCCATTATTCTTAAATAGGGGGGGGGGGGGGGGAGTGCGCGCAGGACCTTGCGCCCCGCGAACTTGCTCGGGACAATGCGGCTGAGGAGCTCGACTTCGGCCGACTGCTTCTGCCCGACGTACGATGACGCCTCTACAAAGTAGACGCTGTACGGGCGCTTGAGGCGACGGCACAGGTCTGTGATGAAGATGAAGGCGCCCTTGAGGATCCCACAGAGCACGATCTTCTCCCCCAGAAAGCGCCGCTCAATCTCGTCCGCAACACGCTGCACCCCAATCTCAATTTCCTCCCTGACAAAGGAGGAGGAGGGGCGATGAGTGCAGAAGAGGGCGGGGTTGCACTGCGGCGGCGGAGGGGGGGGGCGAGGTTCAGGGTGGAGGCTGCGAGCGGGGCGGCGGCAGCAGCGGTGCCTGGTCAGCAGGAGGCGGTAGTCCTTCACGCCGTCGAAGTACTGCACGCTGCCGCCATCCGCCAACGAGAGGCCGGCCCGATCCTTCTCCCCCGCGATGAACTCCGACTCGCGAGCCAGCGCCTCTGTCGGCGTCATGAAAGTCTTGACCCCGCCCATGGGATCCACGTGCTCACGCGAGCCGCACTGCTCAACGGTCTCTGCGGAGATACGCCGACGCGACTCCGAGTCTTAGTTTCGCGCCGGACGCCTTTCGGATTTTTTTGCCGAACGCCCTTCAGCCGGCGGAGAGCATGGTCGACACCTGCTGCTTGCTCTCGATGCGACACACAAAATATCTTGCGGACGTCAGGCGAGGGTAGCCTGTGCCGTTCTCCCATCCCTCCGCGGCTCGTTGGCACGTTGCCATCCTCCCCTCGTTGTCTAGGAGGGAGGTGCGATTTCTTTCTTTCTTCACTGCTTTTTCAAAATTATTCTGGCACTCTCGCTTCACCTGGGGTCCATAAATAAAATGAAGAAAGCCGAGACAACGCGTCCGGTGGTGCGACCTACCCGGCTACCGCCTACGCCCTACGCCCCAGTGCACGTCCACCCAACGCCGCCACGGTGTGAACCCTGTGTACCACCAGCATAGTGTGGGCTCTGGGGCTCGAGAACACTAGAAGTCTCAACTGTATGCTGTACGCTTCGGGGATGACGCGAGAACGTCTGCGCGAGGGCGGCGCGCTTGGCGGGCGGTTGCGTTGGCACAAGGATCCGCGCAACGGCCCTCTCAGCAAGCCCTCATTTTGGCTTTGGGGAATCGCACCCGCCGGCGACGCCTCCTCAGGGCCCAGCAGGCAGCAAGCAGACCCAATGCCGTGGAGGATGCTTGCAGGACGAGCACCGTGCGGCGGGATGGCAGAAAGATTGCGCCCGCGAGCAGTTCTGGCGAGGGTGCGCCAAGCAGCGCGAGCGGTGGACCGAGGACGCGGCGGAGCGGACTCGCGAGTGTGCAGGCGGCCTCCAATAGGCGCTGCACCCGTTGCCGGCCGATCAGGGAGAGAGCCAAGGCCGCCAAGACGTAAAGCGCATTGTCGGGCTGCACCGTCGTGAGATCCGAGCTCCATAGCGTGCGCTGAAAGGCGACCGAGGGGTGCAGCGACGCCTGCCTCAGCCGCAGCAGCTCCCGATCGTAGTGGACTCCCCGGTAGCTCCACGAGACTATCTCACGCGCCGCGTTGGCGGACACCACGTAGCAAGTCGTCCACATCATCGCTGCAGGGCTGCGAACGCCGGCGCTGACTTCTGGGCCGAATGGCACGATTGGGAGTCCGCCGAGGAAGACAATGTCAGCTCCTCCGCCGGTCGTGACATTGATCGCCGCGTCAAGCGCAGTGCTCACGCTCCAGCCTCGACTCCGCCATTCCAGATCGTCCTCCATTACCACCATCGCACGGCTCCCAGCGCGGAGCCCCGCGCGCAGCGCCGCTTGATGAGACTGCATACATCCTCTCACCCCATCTTGCGGGTCGCGTTGCCGCTCCAGCAGCCGCACTGTGTCGTCAAGCCGAAGGCGCGAGAGCTCCTCGCGGAGGCGTGGGATGCGGGTGGAGCCTTCTAGCACGATCGCGTGCGCCGAAACGCCATGTCGCAGAGCTGCAGCCGCAGCGAAGAGCCACATATAGACCACGCAGCCGAAGTCGTCTCCGCCAACGTGCCGCACTGCTGCCAAAATCCGGCGCGAAACGCTGGCCGGCGGGCGGGCACCGAAATAGAGGGGCGGCAGGTCCGATTTTCCGTTGCTGTCCATGGCCACGTCGCCGGCAGGACGACGCAGGCCGCCCTCGCCAGAATTCGGGGCGTCGGCGCCGGCTCCGGCGGTGGCAGCAGCACCCGCACCGCCGCCTCAAAGGTTCGAGTCCTTCAGGTGGCATGGCAAGCGGCGCTCCGACATCTTGCGCAGCAGTCCCGAGGTGAAGCAGCTCTTTGGCCGCGCGCCGATCGCAACCACGGGGGCGACAGCGGTGCTGGTCGTCCTGCAGCTGGCCGCGGTCGCCCACGGCTCCACTTTGCGCGGAACAGCCCTCGTGGCCCACGCTTGGATGATTGGCGCGACACTGGCCAACTCATCCTTTCTGCTGGTGCACGAGATCTCGCACGACTTGGTCTTCAAGGCGGAGTGGGCGAACCGGGTCTTAGGCATGGTCGCGCAGCTGCCGCTCCTCGCGCCGATGGCCGAGTCCTTCCGCTACTACCACGCCTTTCACCACAAGGCGCTCGGCGTCGAGGACACGGACCCCGACATACCTACGGCCTGGGAGGAGCAGCTGCTCCAGCTGCCCGGCGCGCTGGGCGTCGGCGTGCGGCTGGTCGCCCTGGCGCTCAATATGATCCCCTACCTCTTCCGACCCATTCTGCTCCACGGCCCGCCGCCAGTGAGCGGGTTCATGCTCCTCAACGTCGCCTTGCAGGCCGCGTTTGACGCCGCCTTCCTGGCCATCCTCGGATGGCCGGGGGTCTTGTACACGTTCTGGGCGATCCTGTTTGCCGGGGGCCTCCACCCAAGCGCGGCGCACTTCATCTCGGAGCACGTCGCCGTCGACGAGCGCATGCTGTCCACCGGGCAGGCGACTGCAAGCTCGTACAACTGGCTCCAGGCGCTCACGCAGTTCAACGCCGGCTGTCACACCGAGCATCACGACCTGCCTTGCGTCCCGTGGACGAGGCTGCCCCTCGTGCGGCGGTACGCGCCGGAGCACTACAATCACCTCGTCTCGCACAGGTCCGCGACCGGGGTCATCGTCAGGTTCGTCCTCGGCAACTGCCGACGGGTCAAGACTCATGCGCAGTAAGACGCGGGTGAGTCTGGCGCCGCGCGCCTGCACCCGCGCGCTGCTTGACACGCCCATGCGCCCATGCCGAGTACAGAGTAAGTAAGGGGTCGCACGGGCGCCGCGGGATGAAGTAGGGACGGGTGTGGGGCCCTCTGCCGTCGTCACGGCGCGGCACACCGGGGTACACGGTTGCAGTTTGTACACGGTCTAGCGGCGTTGGGTGGACGTGGGTGCGGCGTAGCCGTAGGCGGTAGGTCGCACTGTCGGCCGCGGTGTCTCCCCTTTCTTTATTTTGGTCTATGGAGAAGGCCGAAGCGAGGGTGCACTGAGAGTGCACAACAATGATCAACAAGCCAGGGGAAGAGAGAGAGAGAAAGAAGGAGGTGAGGTCCTCGCCCCGGCGGCCCGCGCACGCCGTCTGAGCCTAGCGCAGCGCGAACTCGCTCTGAGCCTAGCGCAGCGCGAGATTTGCGCAGCAACCCGGCCGGGCTTCCTTGGAAAAATGTTATTCTGCAAAGGGGTGTGAACGGAGAGAGCAAACTCCGGGCAGCTCCCACAGCCGAAATGTGCGCCAGCTGCCCGCTCACCTGTGTCACGCCGCCGCGCACGCACCTTGCTATGTGCTCGCGCGAGCTCCCGCCCGAACCTCCAGCTCGGCGTCCCACTGCTTGGGAGCCGATCGCTTTTCCTCGGCGCTCGCGTCGAGCCGAGCTCTCGGCACTCTACGGCGGGCGTCGCTGTGCGGGGCGCCCGTTTCCTGCTGGCCCGAGCGGAAAGCTCCACGCGCCCGCGCGAGCTCCCGGCCGAGCCTCCAGCTCGGCGTCGCACTGCTGAGGAGCAATTTGTCGTCCGTCGGTGCTCTCGAGGAGCCGAGCTCCTTGGCCTGCGGCCGGCGACGCTGCAGGACGGCGCGCGCGCACCACCTCATTCTTTATTTGGGTATCTTTTTGAGTTATCTTCCATTCCTTTACCTACTTACACATTCCTACTATCGATAATCTCTCTTCTTCCCCCTCTTCATATTATTCTTATCACTTTCTCTATGTCTATACCATGTTTCTAGGCTTCCTGCTACTTTATATATTTTTGTAATTCTCAGCTACAATTTTTGTTACCCATTTTTTCTACTATTTACATATCTCCTATTTCCTTCTCATTCTTTAGCTTCTTATTGTTATTATTTA